GGTTGGTGGTTGGTGGTTGGTGGTGCACACGTGGTTAATAGGTGGTGTCATTTTTGCTGAATTTTTCACTGAAACTGGCATATTGCCTTGTTTTTTTGCTTTTTTTTTCTTGATTTCTTTTTTGTGTGGTATGTATGTGCTTTACTACAGCTATTTGGTATATCATGTATTCAGTAATGTCAGTTCGGACATATTTGGACCATTAACAAAAAGTTGGCAAAAACAGCGAATTCGTAAACAGAAACTTATGGCTCTGGCTCCTTTTCCATTCTGGGGAGCATCAGTCCGGTTCGTCCCTACAGTGGCAGATAGCACACCGCTGCCTGCCCACAAACGACTGGCTAATCGACCGCACCAACCTGGAACAGCGGGGCCTGGCGCTGCCATGGTGTCAGCGGTGTCTGCACATGTTTCCTGCCAGTAAGAGGGCGGAGACTATCGAGCATATTTTTATGCAATGCCCAATAGCCCATTTCATGTGGAGGTGGTGGGGCCGGATTTGGCGGAAGATGGTAACGGATTTTCCCTGGCCATGGTCATGGTGGGCCATTCTGGCGGGACATTGGCCATTGGCAGGGGAAGGTTCGGCTTTTGTTGAAAACATGTTCTGGATGGGCAGGAGGGCCGTGATGTGGGCGCTCTGGAGACAAAGGTGTGTCTTGGCGCTGGAAAATGTGAGGATAGAAGGGGCGGAAATAGTGGAACAAATCCAGCAACAGGTACAGCTAGCACTCATACAAAGATGGTCCGACACGACGTCACAACTGGATCTTTTCACGCAAATCTCTGACATCAGGAAGGGAATCACAGCATTCTGCACAAACTGGTTGGGAGGAGAGAGGGAGGGATGGGTAGCAAAGGTCACATGGGGAGGGGATAAAGTCGAAGCTCAACGAGGTTTGGAGGAGATGAGGGACTACAAGTTACTTTTCAAAGAATGGACCCAGGTGGAACCCTCATTCCCTTTGCGCCCTATCCCTTCCCTCCCCACGCCCTCTCCCTGACGGAAATCCTGGTTTGATGACAGTCCCAAATTTGTCGCTACAAAGGCAAGGGTACGGAAGGAGGTCCCACTGGTGCCCCCCAGTGGCTCCTTCCGCTCCCTCTGTACAGTTCAAAGTCAGACGTGTGGGACACTGGACCCGATTTTCCAGCAGGAGAACGATTGTTAGTATCATCATTATTACCACCATCACCATTATCATCATCTTCATCATGAGGGACGCTGAGCCCGGTTCTCAGCAATTTCGGTTTGGTTATTCCGGGTAGACTGTGAGGACCCCGGCCTCAATTCCCTTATTGATAATATCAGCCTCGGGCACTGGGCCAAAAAAAAAAAAAACTCCGGTTCCTATTCCACCGGCAAGTCAAAGGAAGTACATGAATGACTCACACACGCCCAACCCGTTTATGGTAGGGAAGTCCGAGGGACGGCATTGATTGCTTCTCTCCGGAAGGATGTACCGGCCCTCACCCCTTCCTAAGTTAGCCTATTTTCTTACGTTTGGCTGCAAATACCTATGAAATTGCTTGGATGGGTCTCGTCTCACCTGTTCCTCTCAGCTCTTGACTGCTTGATTTACTTTGAGCACTAGAACTGCAGACATGACCCTCCTCTTTGAGTTAATATGGTCTTATGCCCTCTCCTTTCCATTTACTGCTGCCTATAGGTGCTTATAAACCTTAACCTATCTTTTTTTAACTTGCCCTTTAACCAGTTATGACCAGTGCTAAAACCCTAAACCCTTACAGCTCGAGCTAGCCTGTTGGTACGTGTTTGACCTCTCTTCTTGTGATTTGTGACCCTTATCCTGAATTTTCTCTCTTTAGCAACTAGTACTGCCTTTTGGTAGCTGCAAGTGGGGTGTAGCTGGTATTAGAGTGTTGGGTCGGGAGGATCTTGTGTGTGTAGGTTTAGGTTTGGGAGGTTGGGTGCCTATTGTGTTTGGGAGGGGGTTGTGTTGTCCGGGGGCGGTGTTTTAGAACTAGGGTGGTTTAAGCTTTGAAGTGAAGTAGTTGGGCTAGAAATGAACGCGCTGTGAGGGGTTTGCATGGGTTGCGGTGGGGTTGGGGTAGTGAGGTTTCTTTTGACATGTCTGGGAGGGGGTTGTGATGTCTGGGGGTGGTGTTTTGGAACTAGGGAGGTTTAGAGTGAAGTAGTTGGGCTAGAAATGAACGCGCTGTGAGGGGTTTGCATGGGTTGCGGTGGGGTTGGGGTAGCGTGGTTTCTTTTGACAGCGAAGATGACTGTGGGGGTTGAAGGTTTGGCATACTGTCTTTTAGTAAGGTCCGTGATTAGCTGCTGTTCCTGTTTATGTTGTTGGGGTAGTCTCCTTGGGGGTTAATTGTTTCGTTTGTGTGCCTCAGTTTGAGATGCCTATAGTGGGTTAGAAGGAATTGATCTGAATTCTGGTTGTGTCTGGTGTGCTAAACAATGGTTCTTAGTCTGGATTGTTGGTCTGAGTTGGGTCATTCCACATTTTAAAGATTAGGCTCTGACCCTTGATGATTGCTATCTTGCCTTTGTCCAGGTAGTTCTATTCGAATTAGTTTGAAATTCCTTAGCTTTGGGCTCGTTGGTCTTCATCTTTCTCTTGACCCTGTGCTAGTACCCAATATTCGGTTTCTACGTGCTGTCTGAGGATACACCAAGCTTCTTGCACATGCATTGGTTGTTTGTCTATCGTTTCTTGGCACCGTTTCCTCCAGATGGACCATATTGTTGCCTTGCGCAGAATTTGGAATAGGTTGTTTTAAAGGGGGGGGCAGTCTTCAGGAGTTGTGAATCCTAAAAGAATAAGGGTAGGGTTTGTTGTGAAGTTTGTGCCAGTTATTGAGGCCCAAATCTGCGTGATCCTGGTGATCCTGTTTCATATGGGTTGGACCCTGGGGCATCGCAGAAAGCAGTGAAACAGGTCTTCTATCTGTCCTTCTATGCGATTGGCACACAGTACATTTAAGAGGTTTCTGTCTTCTTTTCTTCTTCTATTGTTCAGCCATTGGTTGAGTGGGATTGCTAAGTATAGTATTAGCCATTGTAAACTTTTGAACTTGGGGGGATGTAGGGTAGCTATTTGGTTCCAAGGTATTTCTTTTAAATTTTCCGAGTCTATCTCTAGGAGTTTATTCCAGCGGTCCACTATGATTGTTTCTGGGGCTGTTGATCTACGTCTTAGTTAATAACCTAGCCTGGTGGTGTAGTTGATCGGGTTGATTTTTCGAACTATTTTTGTGACGTTTTGTTTTAGATTCCATGCCCATTCTGCTGGGTCAAATTCTAGGTCTTCTATGGAACTTTGAGGGTGGAATAAGGTGAGGTCTTCGTTTTCTATTACTCTGACTTTTCTAAGATTTCTTTCTCTGACTGTGACCTGTGCTACGGATTCTTTGTTTAGTTTGCCATAATCTGCGCCTGGCTCCTCTAGCCTGTGCATGGAGAAAGTGAGCCTGTTGTTTCTACCGTCTTCCTTTCTTATAAAGGCTAGCACGTGTTCTATGGGTTTTGTGTGTGTCATGACCGCCCAGTCTTCCTTTGTCCACTGTTTGTCTTTTTTAAGCGTTGTTGACCATTCCACCGGAATGGCCTGTATTATCAGCTGGAGGTTTTGGGCCAGGTTGTGGCTTCCCTTGAGTTTTTCTCTGAGTTGTCTGGCTGAGAAGTCTTTTTTAGGGTCATCCCAGATGTGTTTGATTTGCCAGATGCCTCTCTCTAACCAGGTGCCCCATCCTGTGTCCTTTGAGGTGAGAGTGAAGGGTGTGTTTTCGTTGCTGGTTATCCAGGGATTACAAAAGAGAGGGTATCTAAGGACTTCTTCTTTGTTTGTTGGTTTCCTTACTTTTGCCGGGAAGATCTCTCTCCATGCCTACAATAGCCCCTTCCAGAAGTTCAGTCTAGGTTCGTTTTGGAGTTTGTTTTTAATAGTCCAAGATTTACTTAGTATCCAGAACGTATTTTGGAGTTTGTTTTTAATAGTCCAAGATTTACTTAGTATCCAGAACGTAACCTCCATGTTTTCTGGTGTCAGGCAGCGAACGTTTTCTGTTGTGACCCTTCTAGAACCAGTGGTCTCCACGGAAGGTTTGGGCTCGTTAGAAGCTTTATGATCCACTTAGTTTGGAGAGCTTTTATTTGGTTAGCTGGGTCAATGATGCCTAAGCCCCCTTGACTCTTCTTTCTTGTTACGTATTGCCAAGCCACCTTTGTGATGAAGCTTTGTCTTGATGCGTCTCCTGTCCATAGGTAAGCTGTTGTTTTCTTATGTAAGTCTTGTTGGGCCCTTTGGTCTGGGGTCCAGAATGCTGCTACGTACCACATCATTGAGTAGATTGAAGCATTCAACACTAATGCTCTGCCGTGTAGTGAGGTGTGTATTCTCCCCCAGTCATTGAGTTTGGTTGTCATTTTGGCTAGCAGACTGGGTGCCATTTCTGCTGCAGCCCCCTGAATATACATCTGTATTCCTAGGACTCTGAGTGGGTCATTGGGGTTAGCCCATGTCATACCTTCTGCTGTATTTCTGGGTGGGTCACTGCCACCAGCCTACTGTCTTGTTCCAGTTGATGCGCATTTCAGAGGCTAGTTGGAATGCACACATTGCTCTGGTAAGTGCTTCGAAGGATGAGGGGGATGCTCTTATGAGTACGGTTAGATTGTCGGCAAACCAAATTGTGGGGGTGATGTGGTATTTGTGCGAGTTCGTTGAACGCTTATTTGAATTGGGAAAGCATTTTTATGTTAGTTTCTTTTTTTAGTGTTTTTGAAATTTTGAGTTTTTTATTTTGTTTTATTTTACCTGTTTTTTTTTTTTATGTTTGTATTATGAACCTGCATTGTTCGTTTCCAAAATTTTCCACCACGTTGCTTGTGGCGATGCGCCAAAAAACACCTAATGTTCGGCCTTCCATTAGTTGGTGGTGGTTGTTGAAGGTTGTTGTTGGTGGTGATTGTTGTTGGTGATTGTTGTCGGTGGTGGTTGTTGAGTGGCGATGGTGGAAGCGAGAAGGGGAGTGATCATTTATCAAGAATGCAGCACTGTCAAGACTGTCATCCTTCGGGACGTCCGTTAAAATTGGAACGATACAGAGAAGATTAGCATGGCCCCTGCGCAAGGATGACACACATAAATCGAGAAATGGTCCAATTTTTTTTCTTGTCCTTAAAAAAAAAAAAAATAATAAAAAATGCAAAAAAATGCAGCACTGTCAATGTTTTGCATATGGGTGAGCATTGCTTTCTCACTTCTGCTTACTGCTTTGCAGTTGGGTCAAGCTCAAGGTACTGCCCAACGGTGAAGTACATCAGCAGATATTTTGGCACCAGGCACAGTCTCATTGGGTGGGAACAAGCTGAACTGAATTCAGCGAGAGCTCAGATTCTTTTCAGCAGGTCCAAGCCCATTCCGACCGGCCCAAGTTTAGTTCACTGAGCTCAACTATTTCACGATGTGCTTGTGGTTTAGGGTTTCTTCTTCACGGTCTCTTTTCGAAGATATTCAATGAGGTCTTTTCAGACTGCATATGCTCAATGACATCCTGTTTGTGCTCCATAACAACAGACCCCTAAAATTTCAGCAATTTCTCTTTCGGCTTTGATGACAAAACCCGAAAATCATTTTCACTAATCCATAGAGTGCACACTACACAATCAACAGCGGGAACACTCCTCCCCCCCCCCTTCCCCTCCCCTCCTAAAACCTCCAAGGAAAAATGCTTTAGCACATTTATATGCAAATTTCACCCCTGAGCCCCAGTGGTGTTTTCAAGACTTTCGGGAATTGTCAGGGCATGCCATAAAACAGGGTATTTCCAAGGCTCTATCCAACAATGCCAAATTTGACAGGCACAATAGTGGATGTTGATGATGTCACGGGATTGGCTGATGTGTGCATCAAATGGAGATGGGAAGTTTCTTATTAGAGCACTTGAGGGGATACTCACACTAGCTCTATCTTAAATACATCTGACCGCATTTACGGCTGGAACTGGATGCATCTGATCACAATTATGTCCATGAATACGTAAAAAAAGTCAGAGTGGGAGTACGTCCTGAAACAGAGCGGTGATGGCTGGTAGGAGGCCCTTCAGACTGGAAGACAATTTAGCTGTAGCTTCTTTGCTTATGTAATATATTGATCCAGGGCATCGCCACACCACTCTGGAAATTTGCAAAATGAGAATGAACTTCCCCCTAGAACATGGCCGGATGCACCCGCCGCATTTTTGTCTTTTTCACATTTCGAGAGTGCTGTGGCGAGGCCCCCAGACCTGACACCGGAGACCAATCACAACAAGCAATGGGTGTTGCATACTTCCTGGACTTCGTCATACCTGATTCAACGGCCAACACCTCTCGCTCAATCGCATCTTGCCGCAAAAGTGGGGACACAAAAAACTGGGAAAATCTGCAGCCAAGAAGAGCACACAGTGTGACACAAACAATGTCGTTCATTTAAGACTTTCTCGGATCTCAGGGCTTGTTTTTTTTTGTTTTTTTTTTTAACAATGTGTTGATCATTAAATACGATGTAATGCGTGAAACTTCTAGTGTAATTTTAAATTGGCCTCTAGAATCTAGATGCTGCATGAGTGCCAATACCATAAATAGTAAATACCTATCAATCTGCTATTGGGATATGATCGTATGACTTCTACCATGATTTATTTTCTATCTGAAAGTTTCAAACAGGTTAGAGGGGGACGCGCGCCGGCCAGATACATCCCAAATGCTTGGTGTGCAGGGCCCGCGGCCGACATATGGACAAGGTACTGGCGGTTTAAACTTCTAATCCATCATCGATCATGTACGAGGGGTTATTGAAAATCGGTAAGGGAAGAGCTCCTCCCTGCTGCTGAACCATGCACAAGTTGTGCCGTCGCTGGATGACGGCGCCAAAATTCAAAGTACTCCAGTAGATTCGCCCCCTGTTGTTTTAATGGGCGCGAAACTCAGCATCTCGTTTGAAAGCGGTAACTCGTCCAAACGTGGGCCGTGGTGCAGCCGCCAAGAGGCAAGCACAGCGTGCGAAAAATTTGAAAGAAGGTTCCTGCTTTTTTTTTTTCAGGAGGACCTCGACCTTTTTTTTTTTTCCCAGGCAGGCCGACGGCTGGACTTGACATTTCGTGCGTGCACCTTCAACTTTTTTAGGTGGGTGGACATTTCGTGCAGGGATTGGGGGGGAGGGGGGGGGAGGGGATCCTCATGGGTTGTCCTGGGTCTGTGGGTCGGGTGACCCAGGCCTARCACTCACCCACCTGTCACCCACCCACTTGGGTGACCCAGGCCTAATGTTGACCCACCTGTCACCCACCCAGGCTGCCTGGCCTTGACCCGCCCTCATCCCACCCAGGTCACCTTATCAAGACCCGCACCTGACCCAATGTCCTCGTGGGTGGGGTGGGTGCAGGTGGGTGCGGGTCTGGGTACCCGGTGCTCATCTCTGTTGTCACCAACAAGAATGGCAAGAGGCACATCTTCGTCATTGTAGATAGGTTCACTAAGTACGTTAGACTAATCGCCATGCCAGAAACTGCCAGGACTGAGTACATCATCAAGTTGTTCATGGACCACTGGGTGTGTGACTTTGGACTTCCAAAGACTATCGTTAGTGATAGAGATGTGAGATTCACAAGCGAGATGTGGAAGAAGGCCGCTGAACAGATGGGCAGCCAGCTTCAGATGACTTCTGGGAATCATCCCGAAGCAAATGGGCAGGCTGAACAGATGAGACGAGTGGTGCAGCATCTGCTGAGGCATTACATCAAGCCCAGCCAAGATGACTGGAATGAGAAGTTACCTCTCATCGCCAGTCTGTACAACAATGCTGTACACAACACCATCGGTGTCAGTCCTAATCAACTACATCTGGGATGGAAGCCTAAATCTGCTCTAGACTTCCTCCTGCCTGAAAACCGAACTGCTGCAACTCCTGGAACCATTGAATTTGGTGTCCAGTATGAGAAACTGCTGCAGCAGACTGTCGAACACATTAAGAAATCTCAGGAGGTCATGATTGCTTCTGAGAACAAGCGTCGCCGACAGTCCACATTTCAGGTAGGGGAACGTGTCTGGGTCAAGGCTAGTGAGTTAGGACAGGAGTTTGGCATCTCTAGGAAACTAATACCTCAGTATTTCGGTCCCTGGGAAGTCCTGGATATTGTGGGGCATGATTTGGATGGTCCCTCGTACGTCATTCGTATCCCTGGTCACTTACGCACTTACCCTGTTTTTCACTCCTCCAAGCTTGCACCTTTCGCTGAGACAGCACAGTTCCCATCATGGAGATCTATGCTGCCCCCAACCATGGATGGTCACGTGGACGTCGACGACATCCTGGATCACAGAGATACGCCTGTTCCTAAGCCACCTGACAGGGGAAGACCTCCCAAACCTGTGAGGGAATACAGAGTACATTTCAGGCATCACACAGATCCGAAGGAAGATCGATGGATTTCCAGGGAGGAACTTGTCAAGACAGCTCCTCAGATCGTGGCCGATTACGAGAAAAGACTGAAGGGGAAGGCACCAGCATGAAGCATCTCAGCGGACTTTCGAAGCTAAGGGGGATGGAATGTGAGGAACAAGCCCTCAAGTGGCCCTTTCAGACATCACATTGTTCTGGGCCAAGGCCCCAGCAAGCCAAGTGCCCGCCCTAAGTGAAGGCGGGCCTGAATATTCGTCACAGGCCAAATTTGACATTTCCATATGTGGGTATTCAGGCTCTTGCAGCGCGTCAGTTGGTTGAATGAAAGCGCGAGCCTCACTAAGTTGCGCCGTACAGTTGGCCCAGGCCACGAAAGTTGTGTCTGGGCACCTACACACAAAGCAGGGCCGATACATTGAGAAGCAGGCTGTCGGCCTCTGGAAAAGCAGTACAGCCGACGCACCCACCTGGGGGCCCTGCGCAGATGCAGGTAACAACCCAAGTCCGGAGACTCAGGCCGCGCCCAACTGTAAAGGGCCCAGGCCCTCAACTGTAAGTCTCGGCCTGGGCACAGGGTCTGAGGCCCACCCGGAAGCTACTGGAAGCTTCCAGCCAGGCCACACGCAGCATGCAGCAGGCTTCCATAAAGGAAGTGAGGCAGCCCAGGCCAGGCATTCTGGCCAGCGTTAGCTATGCGGAAGTGCTGCTGCGCTCTCGCTTGATGCTGCGCTGCTGCCAAGGGCGCTGACAGAGCGCGAGAGGTGAGGTGGGGCGCTGCAGGGCACCGGGGCGCAGGCGGCCATAGCCGGGCTGCTAGGCGCCAGGGGGTACAGCGGATGATCGGGTGGTCTTCAGGGAGTGAGGCACTGTGTGGGGTAATCAAGGTCTGATTGAGGGTGACGAGTTACGTACCTGGTACATGAAGAGAGGTCGCCGATGGTGTTGACAGTCATGTACATTGGTCTTCGTGAGCCGAAGTGATCCTGTTGCGTGAACCAGCTGTAGAGTAGTATAGTATGGTAGAGTAGGCTGGGCGCTGGGCGCCAGACAGAGAGAGCGACTCTGGATACTGTGGTGGTGTGGCCATTGGCTCAATACTTCATTGTATTGCTCTTTATGGATGGTTTTCTCGGTGCATTTGTACTCTCTACTTGGGATACTACTACTTGCTCAGCTGTGCGATTTCACAACTTGGTTTTATGTATATCGCTCACACTCATATTCCTTGCACGACCTATTCGTGGGGAGCGGCACGTGCTGGGAACTGGGCCCAGTGTCCCATTTGAAGTATGAACAGAAACAAGTATGAGGGTCCCAATGGTATAATAGGGCTGAACTCTCTTTTTTTTTTGGGACAATTGCTCCAATCTATTTGTGGCGAGCTGCAAAGGCTGGGAACTGCGCCCAGTGTCCCATTACACAGATCTTTGGAATACCAGGGCCATTACCCGGCTTTGGCTGAGAAAATGATAGCGCTTAACTCTACCTGTTAAAGAATCTGAATCCAGCAATCCGGTCACCGATCACTCACCATCTGACATAGATATGACACATGTACGTACACGTCGTACAGCTGCAGTCAAGGTCATAAGATATACATAGCCTTCTTACGTCTCAGGTTCTGCCTTTTCTTTTCTCTTCTTATGTTTCGGGTTCTGCCTTTTCTTTTCTCCTCTTTCCTGGATCTTTGTTCATTGATTGATGGGGATAAGCAACGGGGCAAGTGCCCCACGGGCCCGCATAATAGACAGGGTTTTGGGTGGGTCAAAAGAAAAAGGAACGACATAATCCGCTATTCTTTTTCCGATCACTTCCTGAGGAGAATTGATACAATTGAGACCGAGTGCATCAAGAGCTGTTCTTTTCGAAGCAATGGAAGCAGCAGCAGCACAGTGTTTGGTTGGGATGCAATTCAACAAAAGCAAATGAAGGGAAGGGGCAATCTCCTGTTTGTTTGCCCTATCCTGGTAAATCCAATCCTCCTCACCTTTCCAAGGCTGGGCGAAGGTGATCCTGATCTACCACAAAGTAGTAGCATGTGTAGTCCATAGCTGTGCACGCATTTGACCCGCCCCCATGCTCGGACAGGAAAGAATCATACTGCAAGTTCACAATAGACGACACAGATTCTGAATTGAATTTGCAATTTTGCATGACCACAACAGATGGACCGTCTTTTTTTTGCAATAACGCAGACTAACCTTTACTCAGGATCATAGGAATTGTCAGTCTATGAACTCCCTGATATTAACTCATTAGCTTGGAAATGGTCTAGTTCTTTCATCAGGAATAACAGGTCTGCAGCTGCTGTACTGATACTCTCGTTTGAGATCCAGCATACCCACGTATGCAAACTTGATGACAACCGGCATATGCCCTCTCTCTCTCTCTCTCTCTCTCTCTCTCTCTCTCTCTCTCTCT